ACACAAAGAAAACTCACGCTCTATACAACGACAACCTAAGAGTAGAGCCTGAGCGTACGAATCTAGCGAGGACTCCGAACGCAGTTGATCTCCCGTCAAGTACCTAAAGCCATAATTCCTTTCTTATGAAAAATGGAAAGACGTTAATTGCAGTACGTGTTGTGACTGCTGGCTATCCAGTAGTGCGAGAGAGGCCTGGTCATATCATGAATAACCTTCTCGTTCATTGAATCCCAGATTGAGTTTTCGCGAGAGAAGAGAAAATCACAGAACTGAAAACAAAAACTTTTTCCTTTCAAAAATATCTTCAAAAAATCACCTCCATAACAGAAAGAGAAGGTTCTTCAGGTAACGTTTCGTTGAGATACTCGTCTATATTTAAAAATCTGAAAGCAAAATTTTCTAGGATAAAAATAAAATGGCAAAAGACACTTTACTACCTTTTTAAAAAATCTACGACCCGTGCTCGATTTGAGATCATATCATCCCTTTGCATCAATTCAAGAAACCGCATAAAACCATCAAAGGTGATAGTGGTGCCATCTTGAGATAGTTCAGCAAATCTCGATGTAAAAAGCTGAAAAAAGAAAAAATTCGTATTTGTAGATTCACAATGTCAGTTTGGACGTTTAAACTTACTGTATGTGAATGTATAAAATTTTTTGTAGCTTTTGTGAATTGCAAGAGATTCATCTGATCCTCAGTGACTTCTTGTAGCTGCCGTGAGGAAACTTTGTACTGTAGCGAGGTTTGCACAAATGGCTTCATATGCTTTCTTGCCACACTAAACCGCTACTTTGATAGATGAAAAAATCCAAAAAATTTTGTAACACTCACAACTCAGTTCCAGGAGTGACGAGATTGTAGAAGTGCTTAGCGATAAATCGCTCAATTCGAGCGGAATGACTTGAAGAGAAGCGATCCCGTGTGTCGAGCATCAGATTGTGAACCCCTTCGTTCCACATGCGGCATGCATCCGCAGATTCGACTAAACTGAGATATGTTGGATACTCAAAATTGCCAGGACATGATCATAAGAAAGCCGTGTTAGCGATAACGAGATGACAAACATCAAATTCGCCCCGAAATTCGTTCTCACCTTTTCCAAAATTTCATAACTTCCTACTTTCTCGAGGAAGTTGCGCATGATTTTGTCTAAATGAGGATCTGCGCTTAGCAACAGATTTGAACTTTCTAACACGCAAACACTACGGAGATAGAAACTGTAGAAGATTTTTAGGGTTGGCAAAAACTTAAAATTAGCACTGCAATTCGGAGCAGTTGTTATTATATAATGAGTCTGCCTGCTCTTTTGAACTGTAAAATTTTGTGCTGGTTGAGCAATATCTAAAGTTATTATCCTCCGGAAAATGCCAAG